CCCACCCCAAAAAAGCCCACCCCCGAAAAAAACGCATTAATTGAGCCGGTCCTTTTTTTTGGTCTCGGCTTGAATAAGCAAAAAAACGCATTATTCGATCCCATGTTATTATTAGGGCCGCCACATTACAGAGTTAATCAGCTGGCCCGAGGCCCCACCTTACAACCGCTCAGGCTGGCTGTCTCAGGAGTACTTGAGACCGATCCACGCCATGCTGCCCCGTACCGCTTTGGGCCGACGAGCACATCAGACTTCTCCACCGCCTCCACCGAGAGCAGGGTAGCCTGCTGCGGCTGCCAAGTATCCGAAGTGGCCCGACGGCGACGAGCACATGAGGGGCTTCAAAGATCTCCACATGGCAGGACCACGGTCAGCTTGCGACTCAGCAGGTGAAGGGAACTCGAGGTGTACCTGTGACTGGTCCGGTCTCTTGAGAGCACCCCTGTGTGACAGACTGCACGAGTCTGGAAAGTCTGGGCAGGTTTTTGCCCGGCTGAGCGCTGTTTTGATGACTGACAGTTGAGTCACCTCGTTGAAGCAGTACTGCAAAAATGCACAGAGCTTTGCTCGGCGTGCATGGGCTGCTGAAGGCTGAAGGTTGGGTAGTTCTCGGCCGAGCCGCCTTGCCTTGCCGGCCAATCTCTGAGATTTGGCCCGAGGCCCCACGGAAGAGGAGGAGGAGGATGAGGTAGCGTGATCTTGGTCACGGTATCCGTGCCACCAGCCGGAGTGGTTCCAGCCTGCTCCTTGCCAATCTCCAGCGTCACATTGTCTTTTGTCGACTTGGGGTTGGTTGGCGTCATGCTGGCGCTTGACCTGAGAGAGGTAGTTGGTCTTGGCATCGGTGTCGCCAATTCTGTGGTCGATGCGCATCTTCGCTGCACCACTCCGCCCACAGGCATGTGAATGATCAGCCGGTTGATCATTCCGCAAGCAAGTCCGACACTCTGGTCATAGATGGACTTGGCCGTGGAGGCTACGATCTCGAAATTGCCATCTGTCTCAAGAATGGCTTCCATCTCGGCGCGGTCCCACACGTTCCGAAACAAAGAGCTGATGACCCCGAAGTAGGAAATCACGCTGTCCAGCTCTCTGTAGCCAGTGTCTTGGCCTAAAGAGACAGTCAGACTGCCGTTGCCTGACATGACCAGCTTGGCCGTCATAGCCTCACCCCATGTAGTGCCAGAGGAAGTCTGGGCCTGTAACATTCGAAGACCCAAGGCACCTGTCCAAGGACAGATAGCCGGTTCTGCCACAGGTTGGCCAGCTCCGAGGCCCGAAGGCCACCTATAATAGGCCTTTCGTGGATCAGCAAAACAGTGGCCAGGGCATGAACCCATTCGAATAACTGATCAGACTGACACTCCTGGATGACCCTGTCGCGCTTCGGAATCTTGGCCTCCTGTGATTGTAGAGAGGGCCCCGATACATAGCCGATGGGTGCATCAATGACGACAGGTCCCCGACATTTGACCGCTGTTAGCTGGTCTGCAGGGATTGTTGAAGTATCATCGGCCGAGGCCCCACTGTCTCCCCTGCTAGCTGCACCGAGTGCCCAAATTTCTCTCCAGCGAGGTTAGTCGCACCATCGGTTGAGGCCGATGCTTCTGGCGGCTGGCTGGAGCGTTGAGCCGTCGCGCAAGGCATATCTGCCGTCACTGCAGACACCGGCGCGGGCGACTGAGCAGAGTCGGCCAGGGAGATAGGATCCAGGGCCGTAGATGGAGGTGGGGATTTGGAAGAGACCGGGTCCAGCTTCCAACGCAGAAGGGGTGTAGGGTGCTGGTTGGACAACGGGGTCTGGCTCTGCACTTGTAGCGTGGGGAGCGGAGGCATGTCGAGGCTATGCCGTAGCTTGAAGTGCTGGCAGAGACCGAGCTGACGCTGCAGTGGGCGCGTGCCAGAGGGGGGAAGGAGAGGGAGGCTGAGGTGCAGAGGTCGTGGCAGTGTGAGCTTCTGCCTTGGGCCACGTCCCCCACGGCCACGGGAGAAAGAAGGCTTTGGACTTTAACCTTCAAGGAGCTGCCGTGTGTGCAGATCTCCCGGACATTGGTCTGAGGGGCGGAGCCGATAGCACGCCCGAAGGCGTTAGGAGCTTTCCTTCGGCGGCTGGTCCTGTGCCGGCGCCGCCGCCGCCTGCTCCCGAGATGCCTCTGCCAGATGTGAGGTCGGGCGAGGAGCTTACTTCCGCAGAGCGCGCTAAGCTCGACAAGGATGTCGAGGTTTACGCGCGTGAGATGGAAGCCTTTTGGAAAGCTTCCTTTCTCACGCGAGCAACCCGGGATCCTGATACCCAAAGTATCCAGGATGTGGTGCTCCGGGCCCGGCCTAAAGCCCAAGCCCATCCTACTGGCGAAGTCCAAGGCCCTGCCGCCCAGGATTAACCCGTGCCAGTCGCTGGTACCGCGCGCAGCGATCTTACAGCGAACGAAGATCTCGGGCCCGGCCTTTGACCCTTCCGCGGTCTTGCCCTCCAAGAGGGTAACCCGATAAGCCGAAGGACGGCCGCGCCTTTAAGAGGCACCGGCGCGCCGGAAGCAATATACCGTGGACGAACTCTGGGTGGACCCACTTCTCGAGCCTCACCACTGGGAACCGAGGGTCCTCCGTTCCTATACCGAGCTCGGCCGCACGGTTAAGCATGCCGACCAAGAGCTCCTCAGTGACATGGTTCGCCCCCGCGCGCCCGTCGAGCATGCACTCCACCCGATGCCCCAAGACCTGTACTACCGTCCGGTACTGGTACCTGCTACTACTACTACTACTACTACTACTACTACTACTGTACTACTACTACTACGACGCACCGCGCACCACGGGCGCCTATGCGCGCGCCCTAACAATCGCAACCAAAACATGAGGATTCGCTGTCAGAAGTATATAAGGAAAATGTTGCCCCAGATGCTTGCGCAAGAGTCCGAATAGCAGAAGACAACGGTATTTACAGTGTTTTGTGCCTCTGCACAAAGCAGTCTTGTTGGGGAGAGGCGGAGACACCAGCCTGCAAAGGGGTTCGCGCTTTGTTCCCACACACTTCGCGAGTGCTGCTAGAAATTTGCGTTTCGTGCGGGGTTTCTGCACATCGACTTTGCTGCACAAACGGAGGCCACTTCGGCGACGAGGTCTCCTTGCAAGGGGGCTCATCACACCCCAACCCGGCGTTGCCGCAAAGCATCCATATCTGAACCCTGATAACGTCCTGTTCCCACAAAATGTTCTTAGACAATAGCTGCGCCTACTTTTTGATTCCGTTGTGTTGGGGCACGGGGGAGATGATGACGTACAGGCTTGAGCCGGCATTTTATTAGCGGTGGTACTGCGTGAGCATATATAGAGGACACCATGGGACAGCGCAGATGGGAGCAAGAGTCTAAGACTTCCTCCGCCTCGGCGAGATGGGCGTCTGAGAACATTCTGTGGGAACAGGTGCGCCTCCTACCACTACCATCCTACTACCACCACTACGACTACGACGACGACTCCGACTACGACTATACGACTACGACTACGACGACGACGACTACTACTACACTACAACGACTCCCACTCCAACTCCCTGAAAGAGCGATGAGTAAGAACAAGGAAGGACAAGCAAGCGACACAGAACCATGGATTGGACTGAATAGAGTCTTAGACTTCAGAAGTTTGCACGTTTACGAGCCAATGCACCGTGCTCGAATGTCTGATATATAGCAATGCCGACCAAGCAGACCAAGCATCCGCCACTTCTCTCTTCGTTTACGGCTGTCTGCAAAAGAACTCGACTTCCTGCGCTTGGCCGTGCAACATGATGCAAGCTTTGAGCCACCCTACTCCTAGACAGGGATCAGTTGCAACCGAAGAAGCCGTTACAAAGAATCTCAGCATCTGCGCCTTGAGTGATTCTTGCTCAACGAAAGTGCCTTCAAGAGATAAACATGTAGACCAAGTCGAGCAGAAGGGGGAGCCCCGCTTATCCGTTTACTTGTCAGACGCGAGTGCTGGGGAATCGGCACGTTGTCACGCTCAAGGTCAACCCGAATATATCAAGGCCACTACCTTGCCAACAACATGAATCTAGGTTGCTGGACGCTTGCCGGACTGTTGACGCAACGTCTGCAAGGAAACAGCTCTCCTGACGCTGCCAGAAAGGATGTCGACTCCTTTAAGTCACAGGGACCCAGGGACTAGCAACCCGACCGAGCCTCTTCTTGGTACGCCTCGGGCTGGTAGAGCCCAGGTCGAAAACCTGAAAGAACATCAGCACTGTCGAGCACGGTACTGGCATGGTGCACGCAGGATTGTACTACTCACAAAGAAACTGCTCTTTGAGCCACGTGGCATCGTCCTCCAGTGACTCCTGCAGCAAAGGTGAATTTCGAATTCAAGTGCTTCCGTCGTTTGTGTTCGTTTGCACTAGTCACTAGCTGTACCACACACACACGATCAAAAGACGACTGTGTATCATCAGGTGGTTCTGCAATGGCACACGCAGGCGCAGGCAAGACGCATATTCACCAAAGGGAGCTTCCGCTTCGGCTCGTCTTGGAAAGTCGGCGGCCTCCTGGGTCTATCTCAGACGCCACCAGAAAAATCTCTAAAAATCTTCACGTCTTCGTGGCTCCCGCTCCCACACATCTGGCAGCTGTCCTGGTCCCGCGGCGGCTTGATGCCTGCAACCACAGCCTGGAAATCAGACTTGCTCACACAAAGACATTGAGCTTGACTGCCCATGCAAGAACTGGCATGTATGGCTCGGTTCGGGATTGCTCCCTCTGTCCGTCGTCTCGGTGTGTCCGGCTTCAGGTGTCGCACCCCCCCCAACTGCGTGACGCTACATGTCCAAGTTTACAGCCCTCAGCTCAACACAGTGATCCGAAGACTACCGGAAGATATCGGAATTAGGTGCCCCCAGGCCCAGCTGCATTCAATCTGGTCCCGGCGCTCTCTATCCAGTGTCAAACGCTGTTCCCCTGAGCCCCGACAATGCCATCACCGAGTGGATCGAGTTCCGAAGTCACTGACGAGGAGCCCGCCACTGTCGCCTGCCTGCTGCAGTCGAGAGCTCCTGTGCAGAGCGCTGGGCACGCGCTCCGTACGGCAAACTGACGGCAGGCCGCCTCGGCTGCCCAAGAGATGCGGCGGAAGCGATGCTCGTCGCCCGTCTCCGGCACGTCTGGGTGGTAGATCTGGGCGCGAGGCTCGAAGTCAAACAGTCGTGGCATGTCGGGGCTTCGGGCTTGGACGGCCTTGGCCAACTGGCGGAAGGCCGGTCGTACATCGTCGTCCTCTGCATCGCTTCGGAGGCCGAGCACCTTGAGATCACGAGGGCGCTTCGCCGGCCGCTTAGTCCTTTCCCGTGGTGTTGCCGGGCAACTGGCCTGAAAAGGATTGCTGCCATGGCCTCCAAAAGCAAAGGCCGTGGATACGCCCAGGAAGCAAGCCAGCGATGCAAACCTAGAGCCCGTTGGAATCGGGTTCAGGGCTCGCTGCACCAAGTCAGTGCAGTTACTTCTGGTACTTCTGCAGGTGCAACTTCGACATGTTATGCTGGCATATACTGGCATGTCGTCTGACCTTGCGAAATCCATCAACCAATGCCTCGTGCCCAAAGCCGTTGCAAAGAACGGCAACTTGGCTAACTGCCCTTTGCCCCTGTGGGCATCATGCGTTCACGGATTGAGCCATCGACTGCTTATCTACACTCACTCTCACTCTACATTCTAGATGAATGTCCATAGTGTTGCCCAGTATGGGGGAAACGGAAATTTGTAAGGCCGCCCTTTCGGATCACTTGCCATCGCCTGAAACTGGGCATCCCCACCAGTGACACAATCTGTCAAGACTCTCCAACAAACCTGCAAGACCCTGGGAATCCCGTATTGATCCCAATCAATAGAAAGCATAGGAGGTTTATTGATACTGATTTGCAACATTTATATCGATATAATCAATATGTACACTGATGTTGCTCTATTGTTTTTGTTGCAAGTTTTTTGGATGAGACTATTGATTCTGCTATTGAGTGAACTCGCGAAAAACCAATTGTGCTCAAACCATGGTTTTGATCAGAGTTGATCAGGTTTTTTGTCTTGGGATGCTTGGGATGGTTATGCAGCTGCATTTTCCAGCGAATATGTTCTTGATTATGTTCCTTCCTGTTGTGCTCTATTCTATTGATGTCGACTATATTGATTTCAGCAGCACCCAAATCAATAGGATCTATTGAAAAACGCTCGAATCAATAAGACTACAACCTTATTAATTTCAATCAATAACGCAAACAGTCTATGATTTTCAAATTCTACTGGACTAAGCATTGATTCGCTCGCGCAGCGCCGTGCCTGAAAACTGTACGCATCTGAGGCTGCATTGCATCGAGCTTTGCCGCCGAGTCGACGTGCGCAATCTCAATTATAAACGAATAAGATACCAAAAAAAACTGAGCCCGCCTCAATTTGCGGCGACGTGATCCCCAGCGCAGCAGCTGGCGCATGGCTCATTCCACATGTAGCAACCGGTGTTGTGCTGCACATCTCATCTTGACTTCACAGTGAGGGAAGACGGTAGCTTAGCGTTTTGACGGCGTGCTGGCTGAAGCTGAAAAGACGTACTCAGAAACTGGCGTGTTTGTCGCATGTCTGCTGAGCTATTTGCTCTTCAGTGCCTGCCCAATGGTTGTGGACGTCTCTCGAGATTGCAGTCGATGACCGCTGTGATTGTAGGGGCGCTCTTGAGAAGGCATCAACTGGACCCGGGTCAGCGACTCTGAGTCTGCGACGCCACCTTCTGAAGCACCACCGATCAGCTTCGGAGTGTGAATTTCCTTCACGGATCAACTCTCCACTCATTGGGCAAAGAAGTCACACCTTACCTAGCACTGAACCGTTGCTTCTCAAGTCGTGCTTTAAAGGATCGCGCCCAACTTACTATCATGTCATGTTGTGCACAATGCACCTGTCGGCACACACTCTCCGTTCCCGGGCAATGCTTTCCTGGAAGTCATTCATGAGCAGGAACTCCCGGAAAAGCATGCAAACTCCGGACCTAGAGCCGAAAAGGCCAAAGACGATGACTCGTCCGTTACCGCTGCCCTATGCACGGGGACTGGGGGCCATGCTGCATTCTAAAGACGGCTTGATTCGCCACCTTGCCACTTCACTGGTGTTTATGGTGTCTGGCTCCCTCTTGCTTTTGCGGCGATCAACGTATTTTAACATGAACAGCACACACGCCTATAACTTCGTACAAATCACAGGTGCTTTGTCTTATTCTGCTGCATGTGCTGCACTTTCAACTTTGCTGAAAGCAACCTGCCCTTGCAGGAGGAACCTGGAAGAAACACACCAGGCGCTAGATGGCCACTGTTATCGTACCGGGTCATCTTGAACAGCTTCTGAGAGCTTGCCGTTCTGAGGTCGATGATTCTGTTATCAAGCCGCACGTCCTGCGAGCCAAGCTGTCTCGTCCAGGAAACAATCAAACACAGTCAAACATATTCCTGTTCTCGCGTCCTCTAGCCCTACTCCCCTGCCCTACCCCTCCTTTCATTGCACAAGATGTCGTTCAATTGGCTTAACATGAATCCTGTCGAAGTGTGAAGCGTTTGCAGGCCAAGACCCAGCCCTTTTTTGTTCACAAGGGACTCGACTGCTGCCAGGACCCAGCCCTTGAACCTCGAATTTGGGAGCTCCCGTCATATCTTGAAGCAGGCACGAGCTGGGCTTCACTGTTTCGGGGTGGAAGAAGCACTCAAAGATTTGCCAACGGTTGAGAGAGCTGCGGAAACATGTGGGGCGCATAGCAGGCAACAGGGCCCTCGAAAGAGACGTTGCATGTTGATAGGATGACAAATCCTGGTACCGCCTCTACCAAGAATCAAGACGTCCTGTCCCACCGACGGGAGCCTCAGACAGCAAGCAAACGACGAGTTCATAACTGCAGCGTTTGGTCTGCGAAATCACATATCTCGTCGGCATTTGTTGAACCCGATGGCAAACTGTAAGGCCATGGGCCATGGGTCTCTGGCAAAAGCACCACGTGAGCAATCCTTCACTCTGCGACATCAAACTGGCGACTTAAGATGCAGGCGAGGGGTCCTTCTCCAGCTCTGCCTCGTGAGTTCGTGTCGGGCGGTCACTCCGGTGATAGTCAAGTAGAAGCAAAGCGTTCGAGCAGCAGCTGCAGCCACAGCGACAGTCACAAAATCACTGCTTGCAATATACAAACCAGAACTACAACCGGGATAAGCGTGATGCGACGTAACGATTATGTGATCATTTGCAGCAACATTAGAACTGGATGTCACCGCACGATGGTTGTTCGCATCCTGCCGCTCCACGACTCCACATCGCCAATTACTCTTGCGATCTGCCCAGCCCACAACAGACCACCACCACGCAATGACGCCCTGCACCCACAGCCCACCACTCAACAACATCGGCAGCAACAACAACGACAACAACAACACCAACACCAACACCAACAACACCAACAACAACACCAACAACAACACCAACAACAACACCAACAACAACAACAACAACAACAACAACAACAACAACAACATCAACATTTAAAGTCATCACAGTAAGAAAAATAGCAATAGGAACAA